ACACAGCCGTATCATCGTGGACGATAAAACTGTTTTCATAATATTTGATAGGCGTAAGGGAAGGGACGCGGCGCGGCGTCAACTGTAGACGACTCTTTCGATCGCCTGGCGATAATACGTGAATTCATTTCAACTTGACGTAGAGAGATATGTATGAACGTAACCTAGACCCACGCGAACCATTTTCCGAGAAAAAAAAAACCAGTCTGCATGGAAATATCGTATTGTATCAACCTAGATCGCGACTATCGTGGCCTAGACATAGTTCGAGCTACTGTAAGTAGAACTGGAACACGAATGCCGACTTTGACCCAATGAAGAGTGGAACTTGATACTAGCCTAATTTCACGGGGTATCGTGAAATTTGGGTCGAAGAACTGTGGAACTTTTTCGGATTTTTCTTAACATTTCGCGAGAGTACACGTTGCCTACGACACGTGAGTGAAGTTTCATGGGGAAATTTGAAGTATTGAGTATTGTGTTTGAAGACTATATCTCGGATAATGGTAGCTGTCATATCTTGAGAATTAACGGATCGATTGCCTTCCAATTTCACGAACACATTCCGTATGCTTTCTTTATCATGCCTGTTAAAATTGTGACGAAATTGCACATTGTAATTTTGTTTACGTTAATAGAAAATCGGAAAATTTCTCTTCTGCTCAAGCAGACATCATTTCTCCAATAGCGAATATTTTTTTATGAAAAAATTCACGAAACTTCTCTCAAGTTGGCAAAACATGCTGGCAAAATTTCAGCTCGAAATACCTTACAATCTTTCCAAGAAAAAAACAAAAGTCACAAAGTGTTATCAATACAATAATATCCCTCTTCCCCTGCTCCTAAAATGTGTACAACGTGTACTCATAAAATGTGTTTAAGTTAGGATTTTTACGAAGAAACATACTATAGAGCCCTTAGGCTCGAAAACTTGAGCGAGCTCTCGGCTAAAACTAAAGTACATACGTCTGCCCGTCTTTTATCAGAGCAAATAGGAAAATCGCGTTATCAGCATAGGTCACACGATAACACTTGCACCCAGCATCCTTGTCTCTTGTGGATTTCGTAAACTTCGATTTGTTTGTTTGCCCGACGCGAGATAAGATCGCGCGATCCTTGTTTAATTGACGGAAATCGGCGCGAATGAACTCTTGGAAGGGTCGAAACGTGAAACAAAGGTGGGTTGACTTAGGTTGGCCAGAGTGACCTGGCTGTCACGAGCCATTAGTCAATTCGAAGTCCGTGTACGCTATATCTGACGGCGTTCATCCCCCTAATAGGCAGATTATACCGACTAATTGCCGCGTAATCTCTCGGCGCCGGTTCAAACGGAATTAGTCGATTGTATGCAGATCATGGATCAGCCATACTGCTCTCGAGGACACGCCGCAGAAAAATGCTCGTTCGTGGATAATTGACTGGAATGCTGGATGAAGGCCTGCTGTCTGATCAACCAGAACCTGGTAGCCAGGTTTCCTTTCGAGTTTTTCCACTCTGTCTACAGGGTGACTCGAATGTTTTTCACGAAAGTTCGTTGGTATAGTCTGTAGAGCTGCACCCCTTTGTGTAATTTAAATGTCAGAAGAAAATGGAGAACGAGAGAGAGAGAGAGAGAGAGCTTCCTCGAGGTTTGTTCATGTTGAAGAAAAAAGATGAGCGAAAAATGTGTCGATAAGGGATGTATAAAGTCTCTGTGTAATTTAGACGCCAGAAAAATATTTCCTCTAGGTTTACTTTATTTTGTAAAAGGAGCGAATTTGAGAAAATGTGCGGATACTTTGAAATCTCCAATAATTGATTTCCACGTTAGAGAAAACGTTCCAAGAAAAAAATTGAATTTGTTCTTAACACAACCTAGGCTTGAAATTGATTTATCTCAGTGAAAGCGCGTCAGATATCGTTTCTTTTACAAAATCCTACGCGCAGCTTTTCTAACTTGTTGCTGGCGTCCCGAACGAGCAGCGTTTATCCAAACAGTTTACCTCTGTCCTCATTAATGCGACACGTTCACGGGGTCTGATCGGAGAATTCTCGAGCACCGTGTATATATGTATAAGTGAAAATGTGCGGTGAGAATGTGGAACGAGGAAGAGAGCTTACGAGGCTACAATCACTTCTCTGCCATACGTAGAGTTCGTAGCTTCTTGCCGTAATCGGAGCATTATTAAATAACAAAACTTTCCTCTGTTACGCAACGACATTCTTCCTTCTTTTCAATCTTTTCGTTTTATCTTGTAATTAAGAAATTTCGATGAAAGTACTCCAAGTGTCGAGAACAAGCTAACGAAACAAGACGCACTAATGAATTCATGAAAATTCGATAATCAGGACAACCTATATGTAATGGGGCGATAGTGAAAGGGGACACTATTGGTCCGATAAGTTTCTGAAAGGAGATAAGGCAAGTCCAGTCGAGTGGAATTCGAATTAAATGAAATGTTTATTTCGCATGATTTAGAGATAAGAATGTACACACGGGTGTCTCTGTGTGTTTTATTCTGGAAACGATTTTTACAACAATTTTTCGAATTGACAAGCGGGCATAGATTAGGCGAGGAAGAAAAGAACAGATGTTTATCTGTAGAAACGGGATGAAAATATCGCAACTGTGCCGTTGGGCGGACGAAACAATGCAACTGGCATAAATTACACGCAATTACGATGTATCCAGCGGATCGCAATTATCCGTTCACCGGCTGCCCGTGCCTGCCTCGTGAACCAATTATTCCTTTATGCGTGCCACACTTTCGTTGCCGCCGGAAAAACCATCTTTTTCTGGTCGTTTGTTGTTCTAAAAAACTTTTCTCGGCTAATTCTGTTTCAATTTCTTAGGTTGGGTTACGATTACAGATTTCAATTGTGCTTATCCTACAATTTTATCTACTAGTTATTGTACGTACCAATACTATATTATCTAACGTACGATCAATTTCAAACGAATAACTTCTTGTTTTCGTGGAATATTTTCTGGCGGTATATTAACGTTTGTTTTTTCTTTTTTTTTCACTGATTAGATAAGTTTAGAATTGTGGGACATTGTAAATAATTTAGATACCTTAATTACAGATAACTATACTTTGTAAGTTAGGTCATAATTACAGATACTTATTCGTAGCTTAATTATTCCGGATAATGGTTAGTTTTGTGTGTACGTATTTGTACATACAGTTTGGTCTACAACTATAATTACCGCTGCAATAATTTACCCAATTTGATATATCATTGATCGTTAATTATTCAGTCATTGCAGGTTAGGCGTCTAGAAATCTTTTACGATATAATTATTTCCTCGCCTGCGGACGATCGCAGTGTCATAAATCGAAATCTAACGCTGTCTAATGAATCCTCGAAAACGTGCGCAGCCATACTGACTACGTAAACAGAGTATAATTATCCGAGACGGTTAATGAGACGCTTAAATTTCCATTCAGATCCCCGAATATTAGAATGCTAATGAAATCGAGGCAAAGTTCGAGGGTTTGCGATGGGGTTAGCTAGATCGACGGCGGAAGTCGTTGCCTGCAAAAAAAAAAAAAAAAAAAAAAAAAGGGGGAATTTTCGTTAATCACGAGCAACGATCGCGCGATCGATGAATCCAATTTCCATCGTATATGGATATTCTCATCGTGCAGGTCGATAGGGGCATCGAGGGAGATGCATCAATCACCGGTGCACTCTTTCGATGAGCATGCACTCTGATTACTTTCCGCGTATTCAACGGAAGGGCGAATTCGCGGCTACGAAAATATGAATAACCCTGCGTTTCGGTGGATAAAAACCAGCCAAGCCTCTTTGGAGGCCGCATGGACGGTGTAACATCGACTGAAAACACGTCTGGAAAGGGTTCTGTAATTAACTACCAGGTTTTTGTTTTCGTTTTTCTCCTCCAAGGAAAGACCACTTTTTGGTTGTTTTGAAACGCCCTGTACTAAAGTAGCAACTCTTTCTAATGAGATTCTTCCTACTTATATCTTCCTATTTACTTCAAAGTACTCCATTATGCTGCAGAAAAAATCCTGTCACCTATTTTGAAACGTCCTGTAAGAAAGTAAATACTATTCTTGCTAACACTATCAAATCTAAGGACTTTCGCGAATAGAATCAAAACTATGTCACGCTTATCAGAAAAAATTCGTGTCTTCCATTCTGAAACGTCCTGTATCAGTAGTAACGATTCCATTTCTACCGTCGATTCCGTATCGAAAACAATCTTTTACAAACTCAACTTGGTGCTCCAGTGCTTCATCCATATTCTCCTAATGCTTCTTCAAGAACGCTTAAAAGCACAGAATTTTGAAACGCCTTGTAGCACAATAGCGGAAGTCTCCGTTAGCGCAGCATCCAGCGCGATTACGAAATTGGCACAACAGAAGTATAGTAACGCCTCGTTAGACGTGCGAGAGTGATTCCTAAGATCTCCTGGCCCCTATTTGTGCGTGCGCGTGTGTTCATCAGGACAAGGTGACGTGATTTACGATCGATCTATCGTAACGCCGGTGCAACTCTTGAGTGACGTCGCGGCCCGACGCTGTTCCGCCATTGAAATACTATGGCTTACGAGGCGCGGCTCGGGTCGTAAAACAAATTTACAACCGATTCCCGACAAACTTCCAGATAAATCCTTCTCGGCCACCATTTTGATTCCCAATACCGATCATACAAAGGCACCTTCGTATTTATCCTCTTTCCTTTCTTCCGTGTTTCTCTTTCACGCGACGAATGGTTATCTTATTGCGCGTTCATGACGAATGTGCTTTCGCCTCGTCTCGTATGGATAAGAAGTAACGAATGTGCAGAGTGTTTGGAAAGAAAGTGGACGATTCGACGAAATGTTCATGAACGTCGAAGTGAGTTTAAAGGTCGCTCGATTTAAAGGTCTCCCCGGTGTTTAAGAAGCAAGTGGCGAAAGGAGGGGGATAAGGGAGGGGTACGAGCTTATCTAGGCGCCATGTGTACACACTGCTATCTAGTAGCCGAGCAATTTTCGTGCAACGTCAAGCACGCTGGTTAATCAGTTGTCAAAAGACTTGTATCACCGCATACACACGGTGCATACGTCGTCCTCCGCGGACTAACCTAACCGAAGCGAGTACCGCTGCGAGTACTTACTCCGCTTGTGGAAGCGGTTTCGCGTACACGTCAAGCTTGTTCACTGGGAGCATCGACTCGAAATGGCTTGGAATCGCGGTAAGATCGCCGTTTAAACGTCAGTGCCTCTCCTGGATACGGTTTTCGTGAATCTACAGCCGACAGTTCGGGCTACGTTGATCCTGTGCCGAAATAAACGCTTCTGAAGAATTTTGAAATTTAGTTCAATTGATCGTTGCGAGGAATTGTTTACGTTTAAACGCCAGTGATTAGGACAGAGGATCTTTCGGTAGACCGGTATTTAATACAGTTCTTATCAGTCATAAAAGTTCCATTCGTGTTAGTTTAGAATATACCAAAAAGAATGTTTGAACATTGAAAGATCGATCACTGTGAAAAATTCTTTCTACTCGAATGTCGATGAATTTTCGAAGAATTTCTGCGCATCGTTTCGTAGAGTACGCGGAAAAATTCGTAATCGTAGAGATGCATTATCACAAGAGCTAACGTAAAGAAACAGTGTTAAAGAAGAAAAAGTACAGATGAATTGGAAAGATAAACGATTTGATGGGTGATGTCACATTTAACCTGACTGCTAATGCGACAATGTAGTTAGTTTCGTGCTTCTCGACGAATTATTAAGCCTTACCCTTTGCGAGAAATTTTTCGTTCTCGGAATAGGTGGAAAATATTGTCGAAATTTATAAGTTCGTTTATTTTCGACATCTTTTCAATTTTACGTCCCTGCGTTCGGAAAATTGTCCCGCCACGACAGGAACGACTCTGTCCTTGTCGACACCTGTCGAGACCCGGTTCTCGAGAACACCATTACGAGCTCCCGTTCGCCGCGTCTTCTATACATGATAAACGTCCTCGACGTCACGGAAAATGTCTGGCATGCTGACGAGGAGCCGGAGAGGGGGTCAGAAGAAACATTTTCATACGGTGAAAAATTACTATAGTTGGAGTCTATGTATGTCGCGTTGAATGCTGAACAGCGTGGGCAAAATTTTCCAAAAGAATAGAACCAACGCTAACTCATCTTCGCTGGTGAAACAATGGAACTACCTGTAGCTAACAAACTTATGAATTTTATTTTCAAGCTATCGCATAAATTGGAATCAAATTATTTAGATTTGTACTGCACAATGCATTGGATGATCTGGACCTGAAACGAAACTATCTTTAGCTATTACATTTACGATTCTATTATTTCCACATTGGATAAGTGTGTTTTCCCATGACCAGATCACTTGAATTGATATTCTCGGTTAAATCAGATAGTTTAGTCTTTAATTTACCATTGTATAATAAAATGAAACTACCTGTATCTCATCAGAGTCGGTAATCTGACTTTGAACTGGTATATATTCTCATAATTAGACACGTGAGCCTACACTCGACAATTAGACAATAGAATTAACAAGCACGCACAGTGATACAGATCACGATATAGGGATTTTATATACAGTGTTTCATTTTCCAGGCTTCAAAAGGTTGATGCAAGGCGAGGGCGCCATGAAGAACACCGTGTTAATCGCTCTGGCTGAAACGATTGGGACCTCCATTCTGGTGTTCGTAGGTTGCATGGGTTGCGTTGGTAGCCTCGGTGTGATACCTTCGCATTTTCAAATCGCCTTAACCTTTGGCCTGGCCGTGATGATCGTCATTCAGGTCAGCATACGTTAATACTAACCGCGCTTCGATCCTCGATCTTTTAACCGTAACTAACAAAAATCGCTTAGAATCACCCTTGTCAAAATTGGCGGTCCTTTTCTTCAATTTTTTTATTTGTTTTTCAGTGCGTCGGACATATCAGCACGGCTCACGTTAACCCCGCCATTACAGTAGGATCAGTAGTACTTGGAATAAAAACTATCCCAGAAGGATTAGTCTACCTGATATCCCAGACAATAGGTGCGATCATAGGATTCGGAATGTTGAAGGTTGGTATTAATTAATACGATGTACGTAGCGAACGTGATGACATTTTATCTCCGACTCGCGATGCGTTATCAAGGTTCAAGACCTTTTTCTAATCTCGCAATCCACGTGTGGCGGACGTCACTCGTGAACCGGTTGACTTACGCAACGATGACGACTACTGATATCGCGCTATCTCTGTGAACCGCGGTCAAGCGTTCTCCGCAAATAAACACCTGCGATAACCGCTTTTTGCGTACGATCTCTATCTTTTGAGAAGAGAATTACACTATTTTATGGCAATATTGACGAGTACAGCACCTGTTGCTCAATCCTTCTCAAGCAGTATGTTTATTTTCTCCTGGGATTTAAATTAACATAGGACACCTGGTGTGCGTGATATTAGTATAAATTTGTATAAAAGAACGATTGAGTTAATTTGTACCTTAGTATTGGATTATCCAGTACACTGATCCTTATCTAGGTCTCAATTCTAGCGTCAGAGCAATAAAACTAAGTGATCAATCAAACTAATCCTCCGCTAACTTTTGCCTAAACTATTATTGGATAATCTAATTGTACGTAACCTCGGTTAGCCTTCACTTAGAGCATCGAAACGCTAATTTTCATCTTGCATTTATCTATAAAATAATGTAACAGACCGTTATAATAAGCATCAATAATCCAGAATATTGGAAGAGTAACACTTGCCGATCTACCACATTGGTTTTCAACTTAATCGCTATACAGCCATCCTAACTATCATTTAAACCTGATATAGAGCTTTAATCCTAATCTACTTTTCACACAGACCTAGTCAATAGCCCTAACTCTCATTCAGTCCTCCCCTAGACCATCAGAACGTTACTATTGAATGACCCATCACTCTAATGTTAACCCAACTTTGTACCACATCATCCAATCAGCCTCTACGATTCAATGTTCACCAAAACTATGACTTTAACCGCAGATGGTGACCCCAGTAGGCCGCCTGACCAGCAAGACCGAGAACGAGCTGGCTATGTTCTGCGTGACGGACCTGCACGCGGACCTGAGCGCCATTCAGGGCCTTCTGCTCGAAGGCATATCCACAGGAATACTGATGCTTGTCGCGTGTGCCGTGTGGGACACCAGAAACGCGAGAAACACCGACTCGGTGCCACTCAGATTCGGTCTGACAGTGGCTGCGTTGGCTCTCGCGTTTGGCCCTTACACGGGCTGCAGTATGAACCCAGTTAGGTCGTTGGCACCGGCTGTGTGGAACAATCAGTGGTCGCATCACTGGATCTACTGGTTCGGGCCCATCGGTGGTGCCCTTTTGTCCTCCATAATCTACAAGACTCTCTTCGGAGTGAAGCAAGAAGTCCAGGAAGAGCCTGCGGCGGAAACTGTCGCGCTTAACAGCGTGGACACTCAGAAGGTGGAGGTATAGTAACTAATAATTATCTGTTTACCCCGTGTAGACCATTGTTGATTCAGGAATTCTTCCATTTAACGAGATTTTATCTGGGACGTATCGACGTTTATAGGAGCCCGTCTTCTATTTTATAATTATATTATTTACTCGACAAACATAGAATGCGACATATTGAGCAAAACATTGATAATGTAACTTGGTTAAGTAGGAAAAGGGTTAAAAGTCCTTCATATGAAAGTTATTCAGCCTTCATTTTAGCATACTCTAACACCCACAATAATTCACTTATGAACAATTGGATCCTGACGAGGATTTCTTTAGAGAACGATAGGCCAGCTCAGACCAGGACTAAGAATATTGAAATTACGGTGGCTTAGAAGATAGTAAAGCTTTCGATCCTCGATTGAATGTTGTTGTTCTACCTAGAACCCAATAAATATGAACCTAGTCTACTTCTCTATTAGTATATCAGCGACAAACGGGCAACATCTCATCTAAACGATCCCAAGAAAGCCTGGAACGCTGTTCCTAGGTTGGTTTTATCATGTAAACGCCATGCACGCCGTGCATCAAGGTTTTTCGCGGGGCGGATTATCTTGTAAGGGCTGGCCGTAAAGGTGGACGATAAATCGTCGTTGCCTGGGCAAGGAAGTTCGGTGAAACTGGTTTTACGACGCGGCAGGATTTAACGTCCTCGGTTTACCGTCGATGGCAGCCCTAACCATGGATCAGGGGGAAGCCGTTTCACGGGACAACGTGTCGTTTAACTCCTTATCCCCCCTGTATGACGTCGTTAGAAGAATGTTCCGAGCCTTGGCTTGAAGGATCTGGTCATCTCTGTGGAAACTGACTCCTATTTGAAATTTCGAAACAGCAGAACTAATTTATTGGTCATTCAGAAATTGTCTAGTCCCGTTGGAGTCTCAATTAGCTAGACTAGAACCAGTTTCCAACGAGGATAAATATCTCTTTTGATCGATCCCTTTGAATTTCTACTAGAACCTGATAGAATCTAAAATCTCTAGATACCTTTAACCTAATAAGACCCTTTAATAAAACGAAAATAATTCTATTATATTACAATTGAGCGATTTTCGATATTCGACTGACGACTATCGTTAAATTTCAGCCATGAGCCAAGAGTGGAGCGAACCCATCAAGAGTGGTGAACCGGAAGCGTCCAGGGTGTGGGTCGATCGACACTTTCTTCGTGGAACCACCAGAGATTAAGCATCTAACGGCGCTTCCCAAGCTCAACACGGACGATCTGGATGGATCTTAATGAGCTTTGAGACGCGATATGCGATCACTTGGCTTTAGGTCATCGCGTACCGCCACCACGGACCTTCTTTCGTCCTCATTTCGTCGAACGATCCACGAAATCGCAAGACCTCAATACCTCATGTACCTCAGAGAAGTCGTTCGTTGCCACCAAGCTTTGTTCCAGCGCCGACCAGCGCCATCTTGTTAAGGAAACGACGCGTATAGGTTATGTGCATTCACTTGAACCCATTCCAGCGGTTCTCAGCCTCGAGTCTCGACCTGCATGTAGGATTTATTGTTGACTAATACGTCTGGTTGAGAACCGCGACGTTTCATCGTTGATTCTATTCTTTGTTTTTCTTTTTTTTTTTTGTTTGTTCATTCGATCGTCGATCATTGTTGTAATACTCGGCTAGCCTGTCATCGATTGTCAGCGACCAAAGGATTCTCTGATTGTCATTGTACATACACGATTGTTACGATAAACTTTTTACAGATGCGTTTACTCATGACCATAGAGACACACAGTCAAATGAAAACCAGCGAATTTTTTCGAATTTTTTCTCCCCTTTTGTCCGACCCTTGTACATACTGCACTGATGTATCATTTTTTTTCTTTTTCCTATTGTGGGTGAACGACCGATATACCAGCGTGGCGAAGATACATATGTGATTTACAAAGTTACAAGAGAAAGATATTAATAAAAGAAACACCGTTTGTTATTCTCATTCATTAGGATCGATAGAAATTTGAAATGTTATATTCCGCGGTAGTTGTTAATCTGTCGAATTTTTCGCGAACGCAAATTCAATCCCCCCTCTACGATTCAACTTCCTTTTTCCCTAGGAAAAATAAAGCGCGCGAAAGAGAAAAGGGTGGAATATCGGAGCAAAGAAACGGCTATGAAAGCAATAATGTAACGAGCCGGTTAATTATTTCGCGGGGGCGTCGAAAAACCCGCGGAGTAGGTGGAGGAGGTTATTTTAAGGGACAATTTCCCGACGATCAGCCGGGAAAAATGAATTCTCCGCTCTCTCTCTCTCTCTGTTTCTCATTACGAGCACGAGCTCGATTCCATTTAAAAAGCAACAAAAAAGGACACGGTCAGATTGCCTCGAAAACGGCGCGGCGGTCTCGTGTATGGAACAGACAGGTTCGATACGATCGATTCACCGGCGTCGACGAAAAAATGGAGCATCGAATCATCGACGGGAAAGCCTTTTTCTAATGCTTAAAACAAACACGAGGAGCAACACGAAGGGTCGTATTGAAAATTTCATTCATCAACCTGTTGTCCATTCGCGTTTCCATATTTAGAACGAGAATTCTCCCGTTCTAATCCCGACCGATATAACATAAAATTCGAAACGATAATATATCTCTGGAAATTCTACCCCGAACTCCGGTAACATTCCGCATAGGGGAATTTCACCACTCTAACTCGTAAATCGTTATTATTTACCATTCAATTACCATGAAATTACACTCCACCTGAATAAGCAGTTGGATATACGCGTCACGGTCCCATGGGGGTGGTTTCCATGGGCACCATATTGGTATGTTGCGAGCACCGCGAGACGGGAAAATTACACGAGTAGGTATTTCTAAAACGGAACAAACGAGTTTTCAGGGAAGAAAAAAAAATGGGGAAACTGCATCGGTGTGCATTTTC